ATAGACGATGCATATGAGCAAAAGGATCTCCTTTTCGCCCGTTTCCTAATATAGCGGGCTTTTGCACGTAATTGCTTAAATGCCAGGAGGTTTATGGAAGAGGGATACCTCCTAAATTTTGCCCACGAACAGTTTTGGCGGTTTCGGGATTCTTTACACTCATTATCCCACCACGGTTTAGGGCGTCTCGGCAGCTTGCCGGATGTCTGTGGGATGGACAGACGGGCTGCCTCAACAATTGCTGTTGTTACGAGAGCATTTTTTTCGTTCACGGAGGCCGCTTGCGAAAGATCCAGGGAAGAAGGGATATTTGACTGAAAAAGGTTCCAATCTGCTAAAGAGATCTTCCAACAGGGGGAACGACAAGGCAGCCTGGGCAGGACTTCTAAGGGGGTAAGATACACCGGAAAATGGTCGCTTCCATAAGGGTTATCCAATATATTCCAAATAAAATCTGTAAAAAGTGCAGCGGAACAAATAGTAAGGTCAATGCAAGAAAAGGAGTGATTAGCAGAACTGAAATATGTTGGCTCGCCTGTGTTTAATACACATACTTCTCTGAGAGACAAAAACCGCGCCACAACAGCACCTCGAGTGTCAGTTCGGACACTGCCCCAGAGGGGGTTGTGTGCATTAAAGTCGCCCATTAAAATAAAAGGTTCAGGGAGCTGATCGACTGAAGTTTCAAGTTGGGCGAGTTCCAGGGCAAATGAAGGGGGGGATGTAAATGGAGCAAATTGTAATAAGGCGTTGCCGTAGCAACCTCACCGCAACGGCCTCTAGAGGCGTGTCTAGGGGGACCTCATAGGCAGGAGTGCCATTGTCTACGACAATAGCAACCCCACCGGCAGCGCTAGAGGTAGTCATGCAGTCCTTCCTGTAGACTTGATATGATCTAAGAAAGTTGTTGTTGGGTGGTTTGAGGTAAGTCTCTTGCAGGCAAAATGCAGAGGGTTCATGCCTCTGCAACAAGAGCTTCACATCATCTAAATTACTAAAAAGACCTCTGCAGTTCCACTGCATAAAACTCATTATTTAAAAAACAGTAGAGTGAATATTAAAAAGTTAAAAAACTCGAAAGAGAAAAAAATTGAGAATATTCTGATCAAAAGGGATCTTCAGGTCTTAAAATCTATCTTAATACGCGGGGCATTTTTCTTTTTCGTAGTTTCCTTCTGTTTCCCAGTGGGACCACTGGGAGCGCAAGAGGAAGACTCAGATCCCGAGAGGAGGGCGTCCTCGTCAGATCTGGGTCCGCTCTCATCCATTGGTTCCTCTGTTGGGGAGGCAATGGCCTCAGGTTGACCTGTAGAGGTCGACTGCTTGGGGGGCTCCCCAGGCTTCCTCTGAGGACCAGAGTTCCGGGATTGGAGGCCCCGGCCCCGAGGGATTGAAGCAGCAGGTGGGGTAGGGGAGGTCATACCCTGCCCTGAGGTGGACGCTGACGCAGCAGCATCCACCTTGCGGTTTAGAGGCGGTGCCATGGGCACCGCTCCCGAGGTGGACGCTGATGAGGGAGCATCCACCTTGCGGTTTGGAGGCAGTGCAATTGGCACTGCTCCCGAGGAAGGGGGACCTAACGGGAGACGCAGGTCGTCCGAAGACGTCTGCGTTCCCGTCGACACCACTGACCGTGCCGAACCCGTTTGCACGGCCTGGGCATAAGACCCTTTATAGATAAATGCAAAGCGCTTCTTTGCATCAATGTAGCTTATATTTTCTTTAATTTTTAGTGCAAGAATTTTTTTCTTGTTTCCAGACAGGGCAGGATCTGGAATAGGCAGGGTGGTGGCCTTCACAGTTTGAACACAGAGGTTCGCTCTCACATGCGTCAGCAACGTGCTCTTTACTAGAGCACTTGGCACACTTGTTGGTCCCCCGGCAGCTCCGCGACCCATGCCCGAACCGCTGGCACTTAAAGCAGCGCAGCGGATTTGGCACATATGGGCGGACGCGGCACTGGAGGTAGCCGGCTCTAACAACTTCAGGGAGAGAGGTTGATTCGAAAGTTAAAACAATATGTTTTGTTTTCAATTCTACACCGTCCCGACGCAGGGTGATCAGCCGTGCAGCCGTCACTCCCTGCGTGGCCAGCCCCTCAACGACTTCTTTCTCCGGCGTATCAAGGAGGTCATCCTCAGAGATGATGCCTTGAACGGTGTTAAGGGTGCGGTGTGCTGTGACAGTGACCCTATAGTCTGAGATAGAGTTTAGCACTAAGTGGGCGTCACTTTGTCGTTTAGTGTTAATCTGGATGAGGAGGTCGCCAGATGACATTTTCTTGGCATGGAAGTCTTTTCCAACCACTCCCTCTATCACCTTCGCGACGAGGAATGGGGAAAGTTTGGCAAGAGGTTCTTCAGTCTCCGAATGCATCACGAGGAATTTTGAAAATTTTTCAGGCGTTGATAGTGTCTTTTCATGGAGTAGAGCTTCGGTGCGGCCTCTTCTCAGAGGCCGATCAAGAAAGTTTCGCTTGGAACCCATAATGGGAGGATCTTCGGTGCCCCGGGTGCGCCACCCACCACGGAGCCCAACACGGGGATAGGTAATGCGCCATAGCAAGAATGGCTTGGCTGACGACATTACACTATCAGCGCTGCCCAGGCACTATAACCCAGTGTGGTGCTAGACAGGGGGTCTGTCGCCACCCAAGGTTAGCCCTTGCCGCCAAAGAAGTTGAAATGGAAAAAAGGCGAGAGAAGAGGAAAGAGAAAGAAGAAAGGGGATAGTAGAAGAAATGGCGACTGACTGCATCATCCTGGTCGGGCCAAGCTAGGACACCCGTCTACGAGAAGCGGGGGCCAAAGTGGTGTGTTGCCTCACCCGGGGGGCCCCGAAGGGTCCAAACCTACCCCGGGTTCAGCTCAACCACCAGGATGCCCTTTTCCCCGGACACGGGCTCGCCACGCACAGCCAGACGTGGGTGGCTTTTTACTCAAGGTCTGTGATGTTGCCAATGTGGCTAGGGTCCGTGGTGACACTACTCACCAAGCACCTAGCACCTAAGGTGCAGGCGCCCCCTGCGGGGCTCGGGGTCCGTGGAGACGCCACTCTCCAAACACCTGCTTTCACAGGTGCCCCCTGCGGGAAACTGTAGGATGAGACAGTTACATGTTAAATCCTAATCAAGCAGGCCTCGAGTACCAATGGTACTTGAGACATTTTCTTTCTGAAAAAGCGTGGTCAGCGGGGTTCAGCCACATCGACACTTTGATACGTCCAGAGAGATTGCCTCTTGATCCTATGAAGACTATAGAGATCAATGAGGAAGACAACTATGCCTACTCGAGTAAATATATAATCCAGCAAGTAAACACTGGCTCGGATTTTCTTAATGGTGCACTTCTTGCAGTTTTATGATATACATGGATTTACTGCATTGAAATATCTCCCATATGTATAGGCCAAGGGATTTACTGAGCACAATTTCCATTTACCATGATAATGCTGCAAATGTCTATACTATACTTTTCTAGCAGCACAGTCAGAGTCTGCATGCACCTTCACTTTGGCTGCATGTGCAGCCAAAGCACCTCTCAAAGCTGCAGGCTCATGCCTGTGCACTCAACAAAATTGCACCAGCCGTCCTCTTCTTATATGCACATTCCATCCTTACTAGCCATGGCAGCTTTTGCCCCCCTTTTATAGACAGTGGATGCAGCCACCTGTACTGTTAATTTGGTTTGTTCATCATATTATGCTGCCATAAAGCTTTTCATTGGTGAACAACTCTGTCACCTGTTAAATAGTGCCAATTGTAATTTCAAACTTCAAATTGGCATCAGTTTCCCTGATAACAAAACAATGCCTCATCATGCTGCAGTGAAGCATTATCTAGAACATAACCAGTACCACCCATGGTTACTCTCTCACCAGCTGGATACAGAGGCCACAGACATAACATCAGAGGATGGGGATGAGCCTAAGCTGCTCCCACTTCCCCTCACAAGTGTCTTTCAGGAGACCTACAAAAACTTGCCAAAGGACAAGCTCGAGGACATCCTCATCTCGGTCTATGATTGCCTTATGATCAGCAAGGTAGAGGCAGACTTCTTAGAGCGCAGCACGCAGAAGCAGTCGCGGTTGGAAGCGTGGCCCTTACACAGGAGAGGGCGCGTTACTGCGTCAAATTTCAGTAGAGTGCAGACTCTGCAAGGAAGCTCTAGCCCAACACTCCTGATTACAGATGTGATGGGTTATGCCACAAACACTAACATCGGTGGCCAGATGCCTCCACAAATTTTGAAAAGGAGCCAGTTGCGAGGCAAAGCTTCGTTGACACAGAGGCACCAAAGCACACCGACTTTAGTGTTGCAAAGGTGGGACTCGTGGTTAATCCACAGTGGCCATACCTGGGAAGCTAGCCCAGATGGGATAGTTAGCTGTGCATGTTGCCCCCAGGCTACGCTCGAGATCAAGTGCTCACAAATACAGACATGTGCATCTAAGCACAGTGAATGACAAGGATTTCTATCTCGATGCAGACATGACACTCAAGGAAAACCATGCACATTTTCAATTACAAGGCCAGATGGCTCTCACTGGGCTTCAGATGGGGTATTTTGTTGCGTGGACGGAGTGCTCTCTGGTGACCATAAGGATACAAAGAGATGAGCAGCTGTGGGAGGAGCTTCTGACAAAGCTAGAATCCTTTTTCTTAAGACACATTCTGCCTGAGCTGGTCACGCGGCGGCTAGATCCAGATGTCGGACGTTCTGCTGTGGCAGTGTACTGCACTTGTAAAAAGCCAGAGAAGGGTCGCATGATTGCATGTGACTCAGACACGTGCACAACCATCTCGTACCATTACAGGTGTGTAAATCTGAAAAGAAAACCATCAAAGAAGTGGTATTGCACGTGCTCCAAAAGGGTATACTTAGGGTGCCTACATGTTTCCACCGCTCCGCTGTTTAGGGTGGCGACGTTTGTGATACCTGTTGCCGACAATCGAGTGTTGCCTACCTCGTTACCATGGCAACCTCTGCTGTTTTCGTCGACCATTTTGTCACACTCGCCGGTCGTGCGCTCGCGCTGCTCGCACTACGCCACTAATCCCCGTTAGGGCTAGGGAGCGCTCGCCGCTCTCGTTCCGACGGCGAAGTTTCGGCGTGCAATGCCGGTCTGTTGCGTTCCATTTTGTCGCGGGAACTCCAGAAATGGCGCAGTGTTGTATAGGTTCCCCACCAAGCAAGAAAGGAAGACGGCGTGGATGGCTGTTATCAGGCAGCCTCTCTGGGAACCGACGAAGGCATCGCACGTTTGCAGCGTAAGTGCGAAAACTTTCAGTCCCGAGGTCCTGAGTTAGCGAGTGCGGCGGGATGGTCGAGCGAGACTGGCTCTCCCTTATCCGTACGTTCGCTGCTTTTGAACTGCGACCGAAAACCGTTTCGAGCATATACGCGACGAGAGGCACCGCTGAGCGGCTGAGCTTCGAACGCGAGCTCACGCGTGCTCCGGTCGTGACCTCGCGAGCACTCGGAGGAACTCCAGCACCTTTCGGGGCGACGTGATACCAGTGCTACGTGCACGCGTCCGTGCATTCAGCAGCGATGAAAGAAGCTTCACTCCAGTTCACGTTTAAAATTAATAACATCGGTCTGTCCTTGTGTAAGACGAAATTCCACTTCTTGGAGCAGAGTGACAAAATACTGACAAATGTGCAGCCGGTGCCACTCGCAGAACAAAAAACTTAAAAAGAATGTGGTTCAGGGCTATGCAGCAGGTGCTGCTGAACACCTCATATAACTGCCGGTGTGCACATAGCAGAAGAGGCTAACTGAACCCTATGGGTATATAATACCCAGTTTACAAACACATCTTCAATTTGTTGATGTGGGTAAATGATGGAGCCTCGCGGCGAAATTGTGCAAAAGCTACCCTTCTTTTGAATAAGTTCTTTACAAACACCGATGTGGGGTCAGAGTTGAATTGTCAATGTGGATATAGGAAATATTTATTATGATGTTGCGTCTGAGACCTTCGTAAACATTTCAGAAACACTTCGAAAAGTCCTGTTACGAAGAAAAACGAGCAGACGGGTGGCGGCGCCTCAAGCAGACTGCGGTGCCAACATTGTTTTCTTCCCAAGGTGAGCAAAGTGACAATTTTAGCCCAATGAAACATGCGAGACTCCAGCATACAGGGAGAGGACGGCAAAATATATCATTGTCTTCTGTGTCACAGTTGTAAATGTCACTTCACACACAAAACTCGAATGATGTCCCTGAAAGAAAGTCAACTGTGTATGCAGTACAGGGTGTCAAAAAAAAATTCATACACTAAAATGGTTTGCTAAAATCAAAAACTTGACAGATCTTGTAGCAACTTTTCTCGAAACTGTCTTTAACTGGTCACATGGTTAATTTCAAGTTGGAACTCCGAGTACAAAGAAAATAATAGCCGATTGTTTTTCAACGGCGGTGCGGCAGCTGTTGGGGATACACCGAACGACGACATTGTTTCTTTGCCTTATCCAAAGATGGCACTACGGATTCACTGGACACTTACTGAACGAAAAAGCGTGCTTTTATCCGAGTTTTTGGTTGCGTAGGATATTTGCTAAAATAAAGTTGTTTAGGTTTTCAGTTAAGTATCACAGTGCAGAAAGTGTCACGCCATAAATATGAATAAATAAAACTGCCAACGTCTGCTCCAGAAATGACGTACCTTCGTTTGCGGCGGTTCTTGTTTCGTACATCGTCTGCTTTCGCAGTTTGACATCATTCTCTTGCCTCAGTGCGTTAACTTCATTTGTTATCGCTGTTTCTTTTTTTATTTTGTTGAACGCCTTGCCATGCAAACACCAAGCTTCAAGGAGAGGTTCCAGGTGGTTCTCTGGTACACAACAACTGGAAGCTTCAAGCAAGTCCGAACAAAGTGCCGGGTCGCCTTCAACAGAAGACCACCCTCTCGGCCAACCATCATCAAGAAGGTGACAAGGTTTGCCCAAGACGGGAACATGACAAGTTTACGAACCATGTAGAGACGTCGCTGATATGAAAACAGCAGCAAGCCGTTCTCGACGGTTTCGAAGTGCAGCCCCACCTCTCGATCAGGCGGCTGCTCAGAGATAAGCGTTTGGCGTTTGAAGTGGTTAGAGGTTGCCCATTTTTGTTGGTGGTGGCTGATTCTAGGCTATATAAGGAGGAAGACTAAATAAACCTGGTAGCTGAGTTTGAGACATCACCCTGTCCTTTTCTGTTCCTTCGACTTGTATGTTCACTTCTACCACAATCTCAGGTTTATTCAACCTGGTGATGCTCGTCAGCTCAGCCTAAGCCGGGGTTTCGTGTGGCGGGTGCTTCACCGGCAAATGTACCCGTTCAAAGTGCAGCTCCTTCACGAACTGAAGCCAAAGGACTATGCACGGCCAGTGCAGTTTTCCGAGGACAAGCTGGCGGATTCAGGCCGACCCCAGCAACCTGCGATTCCTCTTGTTTCCGGACGAATCAGTTTTTCATCTCGACGGCCGCGTCAACAAACAGAACTGCAGGTTGTGGTCTGGCACAAACCCGCACTGGTCGACCAAACATGCTGTTCAGTCGCCGAAAGTCATCGTGTAGTGCGGCATATGGCGAGAAGGGGTCGTCGGCCCGTTCTTTTTCAATTTTACGGTGACCGGTGACACATACCTCAAGATGCTGGAGGAACAGATTTTACCAGAGCTGGAAACTGCACATGTGCAACATGATGTCTGCCTATTCCAACAGGATGGGGCCCCTCCCCACTCCCCACTATGCAAGTAATATGAGAGCCTGGCTCAACAACAAGTTTTCCGGGAGATGGAATGGGCCACGGCTCTCCGAACATGGCTTGACCTCCTCGGTCTCCGGACCTCACCCTTTCTGATTTTTTTGTCTGGGGGTACGTAAAGGCCCAAGTGTACGCCCGGCGATTGAGGACCATCCCGGAGCTGAAAAAACACATCATCGACGCGTTCGAGACCATTAGTGATGATGTGTGGGAGGCCGTCTTCCAGGACTACAAGAGGAGGCTGGAAAAATGCATTGAAGTTCGCGGCGGGCACATCAAGCTGGGAGTCTAACCGTTTCTGTTTTTTTTCTTGCGAGTGTATGTGTGTGTGAATGAGGCATTTGACCACAATTACAAAGACCGCAGTTCAGTTTTCTATAACGGCATGTAACAGCATCACCGGCCTCATCTGGCAACAATGGCCTAGAAGCGGAATGAGTCGTTAGTAAAGACCCGGGAAACTTCGTCTCCCGGGTCTTTACTAACGACCTATTCCGGAAGTCGTTACATGGTGTCAGAAAAGACTGTAGAAGCGCAGAGCAAAGTCAAAGTACCAAGGGGCAAAGAATGCGGCCGATGCAAAAGGCAACATCAACCGAAAAAATGCCCTGCCTATGGTCAACAGTGCCGAAAGTGTGGAAGAAAAAATCACTTTGCGGTGGTCTGCAAGTCAAAAGCAATTGACGGTGTCTAAAAAGAAACTGAAAGCGCTTCGGACGGCGACGAGTTTGAAGTTTTGGAAGTGGCAGACAAGAAGGGTGGACCGGAGTGGTTGATTGAGGCAAATGTTGGCGATAAAAAGCTGAAGTTGAAAGTGGACACTGGCTCCCAAGTTAACTTACTTCCCTTGAGCTGGCCGAGCGACTGCAGTATTCAAGTCGAGCTGAAAGAAAGCAAGGTGACGTTGTGAAGCTACAGTGGCAATGTTATCAAGCACGCTGGCACACTGGTCTTGCCGGCGACTCGTCAAGATAAGACAGTCGGCGTGAAATTCTTTGTAGTGTAGCAGAGGCAGGCGCTTCTGGGGCTTGCGGCAAGCGAACAGTTCGGCCTTGTCCAGCGAATTGCCGACGTGTCTGCAGCAACTTCAAAACCTCAGCCAAAATCGACGCCTCTCCGAGAGCGTGTCCTGAAAGACTATCCAGAACTGTTGCGTGGTCTGGGATGTTTCTCAAAGGCCTACAGGATCGTCCTGCAACAGGGTTCCCGTCCGGTTGTACAGCTTCTACAACGTGTGCCTCACCTGCCGAAGCAGCCGTTGAAAGAAGTACTGGAGGATGACAGTGGTAGGCATCATTGCAAGGATTGACAAACCGACTGAATGGGTGAGCCCCTTGGTCCTCGTTCGAAAAGAGTATGGCTGCCTAAGAATTTGCATGGATCCCCGCAACCTCAATGAATGCCTAAGTTGGGAGCACTTTGAGATGCCTAAACGCGAGGACATCAAAACGGAGCTAACGAATGCCAGGGTGTTTTCAAGACTAAAAGCAAATTCTGGCTCCTACCAGATACCGCTTGACGATGACAGCTCGCGCCTTTGCACATTTAGCACCCCCTTTGGGTGGTACCAGTTTCTCCGCATTGTTATGACCCGTCTCCCTCTCCCTGTGTTTGTAAGGATCGACCTTGCATTCTGGTGTGGACGACGACCAAGCGAATGTCTAGACGGTTGGCGTGCGATCCGAACCCTTTTTGCACGTTCGCCCGAAACCCGAGAAGCGTTTCTCTCGGGCCTCGGCTCAAGGGCATCAGAACCGACGTTTGCCGTCGGTGTGTTCTGTCTACGGCGTCTGCCTTCCACGGAGGCGTCTGCATTCCACGGGAACGCCAGACAGAATCCCACCCTGAACAGATGGGTAGTCTGTTGTGTCTGCGTCTACTGTATGCAAGACAATCGCCTACTAGTCGCCCTCAATTAGGAGAAGAACAGCGACCGAACATCGGGGCCGAGAGGAGGAGGTTGACGTCGAGGCCAACTTTGGAATGCGGCGCTAACCAACCAATGGCACAGCAGCTCCAGAACCCCGATTTTATTATATAAGGACCTGTTCGCTGCCCATTCGGCGCGCTTCTTTTGCCAATATGCTAAACGATATACCCATGTAAATAAACTAGTTCCTCAGTTCAGCTCCAGAGAATTCGCGACTTTCGCAGCAGACTACGACTTCAGGCACATCACCTCGAGCCCTCGATTTCCGCGATCCAATGGGCTAGCCGAGAAAGGTGTGCAGATCATCAAAAATATCCTGAAAAAGACTTGCTCTGCAGGAGGGAACTTCTATCAAGGTCTGCTGAACTACAGAACTTCGCCTCTCGAATGCGGCCAAAGCCCAAGCAAGCTGCTGATGGGACGTGGTCACACTGTGGCCTACCAGACTTCACCACGTCATTGGGTGATGCACCCACAAAGCGGATGATGTGTCGCACCGCCAGAGGAGCACTACCAGGACTGCGCCCAGGGAATGTCGTTCAAATGAAAACTGACAAAGGATGGACGGCAAAGGTAAAAGTCAAGGACCAAGTTGCTTCGCGTTCCTACAAGGTTGTCACCGAGGATGGTGCGGAGTATTGCAGAAACAGGCAGGACTTGCGGACGACTCCAGAGGCCTTCAACCTCGACAGACATCCTGAGGAGTGGACCACAATGCAGGCTGCACAAGAAAGCCCTATAAGACTCTTTAGGCGAGACCTCAATGGAGTCGGAGCCAAAAGTCCCCTTTGCTTCAAGACCAGGAAGGTTCGCAGCCCAATATGGATCTTGGTCCCCCTGTCAGCGCTCGTGCACCTGACCCACCACCAGTTCGACAATCTAACCGGATGCGTCAGGCTCCACGATGACTCAGCTATGACTGTAATTTTGATCAAGAGAAATATTAAACACCTGTGGTTAAAGAAAGGGAGGTGTAACGGCATCACTAGTCTCATCTGGCAACAATGGCCTAGAAGCGGCTAGTTATTAAAGGGATTGTCTGGTCGGAACCGGAAGTACTTAAGTTCTTGCGCTCGTTACGTCGAGGGAGCCTTCATATACACAAACTCAACTGTCCTACGTCATGCCGCGGTGGTGGCGCGTTGGTCACTCTTCCGGTCTGGGACGGTGGGCAGAAGTCGCCGTGCGAGACATGCATTCTTGTGTTCTTTTTGGATAAACCAGACAAAAAAACCTGCGTTCTCGTCAAAATGCTGCGACAGGGACTGTACTAAAAGCATCTGGAAAGGTTTAAAAATCAGTTTTCACGTGTTTCTTCCCGCTCCGTTCGTCCGAGTATGTGGATAGTAGCCGTGAAAAGGGTAAACCAGACACTGTCGAACTACGATTGCTTGTGCGGGCAACACTTTGTGGTCGGCAGATGTATTTGTTTTGTTCCAACATGAACGGGAGTAAACCGCCAAGTTGTCCGGGCCACCCGCGGGTTCAGTGCGTCTTCAAATTCACACGGCCGCATGATCGTTCAAACTTTCGTCTGCTCTTTCAAGCCTGCTTTTTGTCGTCTACTCGTTCAAACAAAAGTGGCTTGTAGACCAAACTTTGACCCGGTGATTGCAATAAGAAGTAATTGCAGGCCTCAAAAGACTTAAATTGGCTCGGTGTAAAGAGCAGATACAAGATGTTGATCATTGGTACCAGTGGCCATCACCAACTTGTTACGCTTGGTCTTTTCCCGCTTCCGAATTTCAGTATCGACGTCGATCATCGCTGCTACCTTGTACACTTTTGCAGCACGAGCGACGTCGCAACCGAAAATATCTAGGAGAATCTCATCATGGTTTTGGCGTCCATTCTGCGCCGTTCATGCGAATGAATCGCTGCACATCAAATTATTTGCGCAAAGTTTAGCGGTGTAACGTGCCTTGATAATTTCGCTCAGGCGATTAAAGTGGTAAGACATTGCTATGAGGACGTAGAATAGACAATTCTAACGCAAAAAACAGTATGCAGACTCGCACAGACGCCGACAACGTGACATTCCAATGGTTTGTTGATGCGGGACGCGGTGCTTCTTGCCCGCACTCCATTGCGCAAGCGTTCGAACTGTCGTCTGCTCTTTCAAACTTGTCTGCTTTTTGTCGTCAGCTCGTTCAAACGATAGCAGCCCATCCACCAAACGTTGACCCGGTAATTGCGATAAGAACTAAGTGCAGGCCTCAAAACACTCTTGAAGGTTGGTTGGGATAAGAAGTGTAAACAGTAGATACAAGAAGATGTTGATCATTGTTACTAGTGGCCATCACCGATTTATAATGCCCGATACTACTTGCGGTTTTCAGTATCGACGTCCACCATCTCAGCTACAGTCCACGCTTTTGCAGCCCGAGCGACGTCGCGACTGAAAATAGCGAGCAGAATCTCATCGTGCGAGTCAGGCTTTAGCGCCCATTCTGCGGCGTCCACGTGAATAAAATGAATCGCCACAAGTCACATTATTCACGCTAAGTTTTGCCTCGTTAATTTTGCTGAAGCCACTCAAGTAGTTAGACATTGTTAGGAGGACGTAGAATCAACAATTCCAACGCGAAAACGAGCACGGGAACTCCCACCGACGCCGAAAACATTGCAATTCAATGGTTTGTTTATGGGCGACGGCGGGCTTCTTGACCACCGTCCACCGCGCATGCACTGCGCCGGTGGCGTCCGCTAGGGGCGCTCCGGTTTGTTTGTAACATGAGTTGGTGTATAGACAAACATCATTTTTATTTTGATTTGTGATCTCCCGTTATTAATTAAACCTTTCATGAGCCTACGTACGAAACTGCACCCCGAATTTTGCCAGTGTCAATGGCTGACATCCGTAGGTGCTGCGTGACGTCACAAAACGCAAAGGTTTGTCGGGTGGTCAGGACAACAAGCGTGGGTCGATGGATGTCTTGTATTTTGTTTCGAATTATATAGTCTCCTAGGCAGTGCCCTACTGAAATAGGGTTCTTTTAATGCAGTTCCCAAGCACGTGCAAAGAAATTCATGCCTTTTAGCAGGCTATTACTCGCAGACAGCCATGAGCTTCGAGCAAATGTTTGCCGTTTCGCGCAAACACAACTGCGACGGACGCCGATCAAACTATAGGGGCGCTTGCAAAGCAAAGGATGCAGATTTCGCATCTGAAGCGGCACCCAGGTACACGAAGCGGCATCTGGCTACACATTTCGGCGGATCCACTGGATTGGTGTTGAGGCCGCGGGTCATTCCCTCAGAGGCGATGTCCGCGGGTCGAAGGCAAACGGCGAACCGTTCAAATGCATGTCGTCACTTGACTTGGACGAGCTTGGACGAGCCACGCTCCATTTTCAGACACGGGCAGAACAGATATCGGGCTGCACGCATGCTAAATACAACTTCTGGTATCATTTCGAGATGGCCTAGCTGTTGGCTTCGGTTTCGCTGCATACTCAAGGTCTGTTCGATTCGGCCAGAAAGTTCTGAACTATAGTCGGTTACAAGTCAAGAAGGTAGCGGCAAATGCCCCTCAAAGAGAATCTTTGCATTTCGACGATAGGTTCGCGGCATCAGGATTATTTTGCGTCGGGAGTCACTGGCGGCAGCGCACGGTCGGTATACTGGTCACCTCGAAGACGAAGGCCTGACGATAGCGTCTTGGCCAAGACAGTTATCGACCATAACTTTGGCGTCAATTTGAAGCGAGAATCGGCATAAAGGCCGATTCTCGGAATTTTTCCCAGGCCCGTTAGTGGGCGTCCACAGATACCAGCGGACAAAGCATGCAGTATTATGTTCAGCTACAAGGACATGCGAGTGCCAACGCACTAGATCCCAGACCTCTGCATTGTATCGGAGTCGTCAATATGCATTCGAGAGCAACTGAAGGCGGGGACTATCAAGAGGGCAATACCTTTCCCGTGTCTGTAAGTAAGAATATCAACACTGTGGATCCCCACATAGCATCAAAAAGAGACAATTTATGTGAGCCAATATTTCAGCACTCACCACAGAGAGCAAAACCTACGCGACCAGGTGCCTAAAACGCTTTCAGAATATAATAATCAGCCAAATTCCCACCCTCGGTTACAGTGGCTTAAAGGGGTAGCGTGGTTATCGCGTAGCCTCCACCATGCATCGGGAACGGCCGGTCCTTGGAAGACTGTGTAGGTGGCGCTTCGATCCGCAGCTTTGTTGGGTGCCTCAATCGGCCGGCAGATATTGGCACCCTAACAGGTTTCATAACTAATATAAATATCTCAAAAACAATTATTTGTTTCCAGTGAACTTCCAACGACACGATTTGTGTTTGAAGGTGTATAAAAATGTGAAACTAGCAGACGACAGTGTAGTCGACAGCTGCGAATCGGCCGGAGCCAAGGTGACCAAGCGGCCAAGCCGGAGCCATAGCCGGAACGACTGTGCTGCAAGCGCCAGCGCCACCCGCGGCCGTCTTCCGACGCTGTGCCGCTTCTCCGGTTTCATTCGTTACACTACACTAACCGCGCAACAAAAATCTCACCCAACCACAAAACAAGTCGAGCACAACAACAGAAACAAAGCACACTGAGGCGGTCACTCGCAGGCAAACGACGAGACAAAAATGCTCGCTTTGTGTTTTGTGACGTCAGAGCTTCAATGTTGGCAACAAAAGCAGCGTTTGCGCTAGAATGCGATTGGAGCAGTATAAATTCAATTACTCACGCAGAGGGGCATATAAAACTCAGATATTGCACGTACGATGCGTATCGAGGCAATAACAATGATATTCAATTGTTTTCTTGAATACAAAATTTGACCGGACAATCCCTTTAAACCGGCTCCGATGGGCAGTCGAGTCGCAGCACTCATAACGTACACTTCGTCTCCCGGGTTTTTACTAACGACCCATTCCGGAAGTCGTTACAATTTCAGCGGCTCTTTTCAGAGCCACAAAATCGCTGCTTTATCGGTCGCACCCCTGGCTGCCTCTCGTGTCTCATTCAAACGTCAAACTGCGAAAGCAGACGATGCACGAAACAAGAACTGTCGCAGACGAAGGTACGCCATTTCTGGAGCACGCATTGGCGGTTTTATTTATTAATATTTATGGCGTGACGCTTTCTGCACTGTAAAACTTAACTGAAAATCTAAACAACCTTATTTTGGCAAATAACCCACGCAACCAAAAACTCGGATAAAAGCGCGCTTTTTCGTTCAGTCAGCGTCCAGTGAATCTGTAGCGCCATCTCTGGATAAGGCGAAGAAACATGGCCGTCGTTCGGTGTCTCCCCGACAGTTACAGCTGCGTCGTTGAAAAAATCAGTTATTTTCTTATTTTCCATGTACTCCGAGTTCCGACTTGAAATTTTAGCACAACAATGTGACCAGTTAAAGATATTTTCAAGAAAAGTTGCTACAAGATCAGTCAAGATCTTGATTTTTGCGAGCCATTTTAGCGTTAAATCTTTTTGTGACACCCTGTATTTTGTAGTACCTCTTGAAAGTAAATATGAGAATTTAGAAAACTAGGAGTTTTCAACTTTTTGTACAATTTTAATATGTTCCAATCAGGGGCGGATCCAGAGGATCCCCTAAAGGGAAACCCTAAGGTTGAAAAAAAAAACAAAAAAATGGGGTGGGATTAGGATGCCTACATGTTTCCGCTCCGCTGCGGCGGCATGTAGGCACCCTAGGTGGGATTTACAAAGAGGGAACACTCGCTGCACACCTTATTGTGTGCTGGATCTTTGTTTAAACTCATACAAATAGTAGAAAAAGGTATTTCCTCTTCAGCGACAGAAAGTGTAGATATTCAAAACACAATTGCGATACCTCCCGCTACGAAGCAAGGGATAACAGAATCTTGATTTAACTCTGTGCCCACTTCGCACGACCTAAGACTGTGGTTTAGGTTTTTCAGTACATTTCGATAAACCACAAAAATTATTCCCAAGTTGGCTTTATCAAAATCGGTCCTTGAATAAGAAAAACCCAAACTTTGCGGGAAGAAAACCTTCATCTACAGTTTTATTTTGGAACAAAACACTGCCTCCAATGAACTGACCGCGAGACTGGTTTTTGCTCTGGATCCCCACGTCTTGTTCCTTTTCCTTGTCAGTACAAGGATGTCTTCCCATTATTCGGGTCACATGAATATTCCACGGTGATTGGATCTGGATCTGCCACTGGTTTTAATGCGCAGGATGTCCGGATACTCTCCCCCAAATAATGACCAAGCAATGCTGTTGAAGTGCGTCTCAACCAAATTTATCACATGTTCTTTTTTTTTTAAGGCAACTGTTTCTTGTGTTCAAATTTAATTAATATGTTCCTTAACTAATTCTTTCTAGTTTCACCCAAAAAGTACGAGCCAGCAAGGTCAAGCCCCAAGAAAGCTGTGCGGCCATTTGAAAACGCCGAAATGGGCTCACTCGGCTTGCCTGCAAGTAGTGGCAATAAATTGCCTGAGACTACTGCCGGCTCACCCGTCCATCCACCTGATGATGAAGCCTGTGGTGAGACCTCGACTGCGTCGGATGGCACAGGGCATCAACTGATTACGTCGATAGCCACTACTTCAATCTCTGTGCAAGACAACTTCGTTCCCATGCATTCTTGCACTGATGCGGAGGTAGAAGATGCTGGCGACCTTTTGTCACCAACCGACAGTGAGCTGCAACAAGGAAGCACGCCAGCACAAACAGAAAGCCTCTGCTGCCTTGAGCTAAAAAAAGTTGTAGCTGATGTGACTAGAAAATATAACAACCTCCAACATCATCATGACAATGCAAAGAAAAAAATTCAGACTGAAAAATGAGCTACAAACTGCACAAGAACAACTTCGGGCACTCAGGGACCCGAAGTTCCTGGCTCATGACCAGAAAAAGGTAATTGCAAAGCAGTCCAGCAGGGGAATGACATGGTCTCTGCAGACCATAAAACAAGCCCTACAAATGAAGTTCGCATGTGGAACAACAGGCTACGAACTCCTCCGAACACTGGGCTACCCTCTGCCCAGCACCAGAACTCTGTTGAGGAGAATGCAGAGCTTTCACTTTTTGCCTGGAATTCTCGGGGAGGTGTTCGACATTTTAAAGAGAAAAGCCGACGCCATGGAAGAGGCAGAACGAGACTGTGTGTTGTTCTTAGACGAAATGGAAATTGTGCCAGGCATTGAGCATGACCAGTCTGAAGACTGCTTCCTTGACTCCATTACTCTCCCAAAAAAGAATGACGACGCTAATCGTGCCCTGGTATTTATGCTAGGAGGTCTGACATCCCGATGGAAACAAGTGATCGCCTACCACTTCACAGGAAGGTCACTTGATGGCACCCTCCTCAAGGACTTTGTTCTGGACCTCGTGAAGTTGTCCTATGAGGTGGGACTGAAGGTACTTGCAGTCACTAGCGATATGGGTGCGTCAAACCGGGCCATGTGGCGCGAGCTTGGGCTTATCAGCACGAGAAACGAGGACACAACTTGTAGCATTCCTCACCCACACCTGCAAGGACGCCGGTTGTATTTTATGGCGGACGTTGCACATTTGATCAAGAACATTCGAGGCCAACTCCTTCGGTCTGAAGTTTTTGTTCTCAGCAAGCGGACCATGGAAGAAAATGGGCTGCCCAGTGCCAGGGTCAAGCTGGAGTACCTTGAGACAGCACTAAACATGGACAAAGAGAATGAATTAAAAGTTCCCCCAGGCTTGTCGGAAATCCATGTAAGCCAGGGACACTTCACAAAGATGAAGGTAAACATCGCCATACAGTGCGGGGTGGCTTGCCCCGGCCACGACCAGCCGAAGAGGCACCGCAGGTGCTGGGCAGAGTGTCTTTCAACTCTGCCTCCTCCGGCTCCTTGGGTACTGGGGGAGCGGCACGAGGGTTGTGCCGCTCTTTCGAAGAGGAGGTCCTCTCTGAGGAGGTCGGGCGGGAGTTTCGCCCCCTCTCCCCGGAAGAAGACCGCAAAGTGCGGACCGGTGCGGCATTTGCCGGCCTGTCTAGAACCAGCGAAGCAGCATGTGCACTCCCTCCATGAAGAGGGGGGCACTGCTGCCCTAGCTGGGGGGTTGGGGCCCTGAGGGCTGCCTCCAGAACCTCAGATGAGACCTGGGTAGCCCTCGACTCCGAGCATGGCACAAGACCCCTCCGTGCCACGTCGGCGTACGATCCCTTCGACGTGAAGGAATACCTTTTCTTCGCTTCGCTATAGCTGATATTTTCTTTGGCTTTAATGGCAATGAGTTCCTTCTCTTGCTTCCATATGGGACAGCGTAGGTAGGGTGTGGTCCATCGCAATTAACGCAGTGGGCCACATTCTCGCAATTGTCAGAGATGTGATCCTGACTGCCACACTTTGCACAAGTCGCCTTCCCTCGACAGCTGCGTGTTCCGTGACCAAAACGCTGGCAACGGAAACACCGCTGGGGGTTGGGGACAAAAGGGCGGATGTGGCAGTTCAGGTATCCAGCCTTGATTGTTTGTGGCAGTGTGTGTCGTTCAAATGTAAGGATGACGTGTTTTGAAGGGATTTCTTCACCATCTTTTTTGAACATAATCCATTTTACGGCGACAACGCCGGCACCTTGGAGTCCCTCGAGGAGTTCTTCCTCACTAGTGTGAAGGAAGTCGTCTTCAGAGAGGACTCCACGGATGGTGTTCAGTGTGCGGTGAGGGCTCACCGACACTTTCACATCAAGTATGATGTTCAGCTTGAGAAGCGCTTCACTTTGCTTTTTGTTGTTTACCTCCACTAGGAGGTCTCCAGAGTGGAGTTTTTTAGCCTTTTAGGAAAAACCTACAAGGTGTTCAAGTACTTTGGCTACAACAAATGGTGACACCTTTGACACAGGTTTCTGTTCATCGAGAGAATGAACAACGAAAAACTTCGTGAAGTTTTCTACCTCTGGTTCTTTTTCAATAGTCTTGTGTTCAGGGCAGCGCCTTTTAATGGCTTGCCCCGAACGGGGTTTGGAAGAGAGGGGCGCCATAAGAGGGCAAGGAGTGTTCGGAATCTGTGGCGCGCCGCCCACCACGGAGCCCAACGAGGGAATAGGTAACACCCCATAACAAATATGGCTTTGCTGGAAGCATTACTCTATTAGCGCTACCCAGAAACTATAACCAAGTGTGGATCTGGACGAGAGTATGTCACCACCCAAGGTTAGCCCTTGCCGCCAAAGGAGTTGAAAAAGGAAAGAAGGGAAATGAGAAGAGTGAAAAGAAGAAGAAGACAAGGGTGAAAGAAAGGAGGGGATAGTAGAAGTGGCGACTAGGCTGAATCATCCTGGTCGGGCCAAGCCAGGACTCCCGTCTACGGGAAGCGGGGGCCGAAGTGGTGTATTGCCTTGCCCGGGGGGCCCCGAAGGGTCCAAACCTACCCCGGGCTCGGCTCAACCACCAGGATGCCCTTTTCCCCGAACACGGGAAAGCCACGCACAGCCAGACGTGGGCGGGCGAACCCGCATGGCTCGGGGTCCGTGGAGACGCCACTCTCCAAACACCTGCTTTCACAGGTGCCCCCTGCGGGCAGCATAAAGAGGGGCCTTGGGGGACACAATGGGGGGAAGGGCACGCGAGTGCGTAGCTTTCACAGCGTTAATGAGACAGTTTTGACCACCAGAAAGGAGGGTGGACTGACATCACATCAAGCCATGTATAAGTGTGATCCATGAATGCTTGTCAAATCAAGGGCACACAGCTTAAAAGACAGCAAACAAACATGTTGCCACTGTTCGCTGCTCCTGACTATGCACAAGACTAGAGATGCCAGAAACTTCTTTCGAACCGGACGTTTGATGATCAAACCAAGGGCTTCGAACATTTCCAAGTTCGGTTGACCTCAAACTTTCTAACCTTTCTTATTCAGAAATTTAATTTCAGACTTATTACATTTAGAGATTCAATATTGTTCGAACCTTTGAACTTATCACATTCAGAATTTCAACGATCTTTAAACTATCCACCTGCGAGGAGAAAAAGTTTGACAAAGTGTGAACCTTATTCGGAGATCAACAATACTTGTTGCAGCACTGTGCACCGCTGCGTCTTGTTCTGGTTTCGCTGCTATTGTATGCTTGTTTTGTTGTGGTCCACAGAAAAAAAAATGGCGTGTATGCTTCCACTATGTGTTTCAAGTTGCTACCGAGCCCATCTAGTGTGTAGAACAGCAGGTAAAGTGCGAGCCAAGAAGCGTCGGTGTGCATGTTCAAAATCCGGCCCGGCCGAGGCGCTAACGATCTCAAGAAGGCCGATTGATGTTTGACTAAATGTGCAGTACCTATCTGGGGTGCCCTTCTCCACTGCAAACGGTGCAAGCGCCTCCGCGTGGAGTCAGGTTTCAACTCTCGAGTTAAGACAGCCGTCTAAGCCACATTGAATATCTTGTATCTAGACGCTCCATAGGAGGAAGGGTTTGTGGAGTGTACAAACAGCAGCACAGGGCGCGGCAATCAAGCACAGCAAACGCGGTATTGGAGCTTGCTTGCATTTCACTCATGCACATGTTGGCTTCGAGAACCAAATTTCATAACCCGTGTTCGGCGATAAGCAATTTAGGAAACCTGTGCCATGCAATGTACAACGGTTTTTTTTTTGCACTAGGTTAAAATATAATTTTACACATGACACATAAGAATAAGGTAGGATGCAGACCGGTTTCTGCTACTTGACTCGTCCGATGAGCCTTTTGAGCCGAGTGTTCGGGGGCCCCAAGTTTACTCTGGTCGAGTGCTCCTTAAAGGCCGACGACCAGACTGGAAATTCTGCAAGGCAGGGAATCCTCCTCACCATGGGGGGAGGAGGAAACAGGCAGTAGTGGACAGGGTAGGAGGGGGGAGAGGAGGAAGCGGGAAAAAGTGGAAAGCGCGAACTGGTCGTCGGTCTTTAAGCTCTAGCGGCGTTGGGTTTTCCGTTAATTCTGTTATGTGCATGTGTGCCGGTATTTTCTCCGTCCCGCGATTTATTCTACCAGAAATATACGTCCACACTAAAAACAAATAAAAAAAAATGGAAAGTAAAATTTTTTGCCTTTAAAGGGATACTACAACGAAATTTCGGCGCTCATTTTTTGGTCTATATGTTCAAAGGAGCAGCATCACATCGAACATACCAATATCTTATTAAAAAAGTCACGAAAAGGAATTTTAAAACGAATTAAACGATTAGCAAAGAGCACCTGGTGGATGTCGCTAGGGCCTCGCTTGTAATGCCCGTCTAGGAACCTTGACAGCTAGTGACAAAGGTTGTCTCGCCTCCGGCCACGACGAGAGAAGAGGGGCAGGAGGAACTCCCCTCTTCCCGAGAATGCCTTTTGTGTGTCGCAGAAGTCGCTATTGTCTCCCTACAAGATTACAGAAGATTAGCCCGTGGCTGGAACGACTAGACCATCCTCTCGACGTCAGCCTCGCCGTAGCTTCGCTCGTCCCGAGACGACCTACGTCACGATTGCATTGGATGTCACGTGGTCTCCGCTGGGCCTTCTCCAAGTGCTTGACAGAGTGAGCCGTTTACAACGAAAAATACAGCCACCAGGCTCAAAATACAAACGTGCGATTGTCATTTACGGATATTGTGGATCATATTCAACCTATTTTTGAACATGACGGGAATATTTCAAATTTCGTTAAAGTATCCCTTTAAAAATCTGTCACTCTTCACAATAACTACTGTGGATCTGGCAGTTCTATACTGCTGTAGTACTGAAAATGAAATTGGCTTTGACATATGGAACCTTCATAGTGAAATTTCTGGAACTCCGTTTTCAATATTTCGGAGTATGGATCAATGGAATCCGTGAAAGCTGTTTTCAAAACAGCGGAACTAGTTAGAATTCAAACTTCCCAAACTTTTCAAAAAAAAAAAAATTCAATTTTTTTTAACCTGAACCTTAAAGAAATTAGAAATTTTTGAATTTTTCTCTATTAAACGTCAAAAATATTTCGAACCGTCGAACGCAAACTTTTAAGAACCTTGAAGGCTTCGAGCTTTGCGAATTCGAATCTCGGCAGTGCAAGAAAATTTCTAACTTCGCAAAGTCTAATCTTCGTAATGTATGAAAGTTGCAAACTTTGCGAAATCAAAGGTTCGGAAAGCTGAAAAGCTGTCAAACACAAACCTCGGGACGTTTGCTACATCTCTATACAAGACTGTGCTAGGAGACAGATTACTCTTGCAGCTGAGAGGCAGCTATGTGCTAGGGCGCCTACATAGCGGACACGCATGTAAGCACCCTAGGTATCATAAAAGCGGTGCCACCCTAAACAAAGCAGAGCGGACATACATGTAGGCACCCTACTACGTGCAAGTTTAGTGAGATGGCTGGTTGTGTTAGGAGTCGTGGGGTTGTTTCCGACAAGTTGTAGAACTGTGCAGTAAAGATGCGATTCATGAATGCCTGTCAAATCAAAGGCACAGCTCGGCAGACGGTAAACAAACATGTTGCTGCTGCTCCTGACTAGGTGCAAGACCATGCTTAGAGATGGATTACTTCTGTGGCCGAGAGGCAGCTAGCTACGTGTGAGTCTTAGTGAGAAGGTTATGGGGTTGTGCAGTTGTTTTTGATGGGTCGTGTCACTGTGCACTATAGGTGTGTTCTATGAATGCCTGTAAAATCAAGGGCACGCCGTTTGGCAGACACCGCTGCTTGTGACTATGTGCAAGTCCATGCATAGAAACAGCTCTCCTGTGGCCAAGAGGTAGCTACAAGCGAGTCCTAGTTAGGCATCTGTGTGCAATAACCGTGTGG